CTCGAATTAAGAAAGAATGCAGCTCCATTGACAGAAAGGCCGTGTATCATATGGAAGAAATTACTCCAAAGGAGGCATTCGAGGATGTTCACTGCTTCGTCAATGCTGAGCTCACTGGTCTACCTCGTGATCAGCAGGAAGCCATTGTTACCAACTCTTCAGGGCTCTTCATTTACGCTGCAACTATTGTGCGCTATCTTTGCCCTCCCAACTTTCCCTTGTCAGCAAAGCAGCAACAAAAGCGCCTTGAAACACTGTGGAAATCTGGTGTCAATGCAAAGGTGCCAGACAGCGAACACGGAATTGACTCATTGTATAGCACCATCCTCACTCAAGCACTGCCAAATATTGGACCAGAGGTAGAGATATCAAAGCGTGTGCTCTACGCTGTTGTCACGACTCGACAACCTCTCACTGTTTCCAATCTTGCGCCACTTGTGGTTGGTGATGTAACTGAAGAAGCAGATGAAGAGGCTGTCCACAACAGTTTGAACTTGTTCCATGCCGTTCTATATATCTCCTCACGTGATAAATGCATCTACACATTCCACAAGTCCTTCCCTGACTTTATCCTGGACCCAGGTCGCTCGCCCGAGCTGGCAAAAAAAGCCAGGTCTTACTTTCCAAACTGGACAAGCAACTGTATTCACATCATGAGCAAGTCCTTGCATTTCAATATGTGCAACCTTGAATCATCTTTTCTTCTTGACGAGGAAGACAAGCACTTGTCAGAGCGAGTGGAGACCAACATCAAACCCGAGCTTCGCTATGCTTGTCAACATTGGGCCATGCACCTTGCGTCAGTGAGACAGGATTATCAGGAGGAGGTGCAGCAGCTTTCAGACTTACTACTTGACTTTTACAAGTTGAAAGTACTCTTCTGGATGGAAGCAATGAACTTGCTCAAGTTAGACTGCCGGCTTGCAACACACCTGGGCATTGCAGGTATGTAAATTGACAATATTTTCAGTGCTGTGCTTTTACAACAAACTAGGTTCGAAACACAGAGCTAAACGAGTACATGGCCGCTGGCCAGAGACTCTGGGCTTCATTTGTCCGGGGCCAGGCTGCATTATCCACACCACATCTCTATGTCAGTAGTCTTGCAACAGAATTGGGCTTAACGGCTGCAGGGACTTTGACAAATTGGCGAGAGCACTTCCCCAGGCTGCCCTCTCTTAAATGCAAGGGCATCTCCCTGCACAGGATGTTAATGACCATTGAGGGGCACAGCAGTAGGGTCAGCTCTGTGGCATTCTCGCCCGACGGTGTGCATGTGGTGTCTGGCTCAGACGACAAGACCGTGCGGATTTGGGACGCAACAACGGGCGCCGAGGTGACCAAGATAGAGGGCCACAGCAACTGGGTGGACTCAGTGGCATTCTCACCCGACGGCACGCTTGTGGTGTCTGGCTCAGGTGACACGACTGTGCGGATTTGGGATGCAACAACGGGTGCTGAGGTGACCAAGATGGAGGGCCACAGCGACAGGGTCCACTGTGTGGCATTCTCGCCCAACAGTGCACATGTGGTGTCTGGCTCAGGTGACAAGACCGTGCGGATTTGGGATGCAATGACAGGTGTCGAGGTGACCAAGATGGAGGGCCACAGTGGCGGGGTTGGCTCCGTGGCATTCTCACCTGATGGTGCACATGTGGTGTCTGGCTCAGCTGACAAGACTGTGCGGATTTGGGATGCGACGACAGGCGCTGAGGTGACCAAGATGGAGGGCCACAGCGACTGGGTCAGCTCTGTGGCATTCTCGCCCGACGGTGCACGTGTGGTGTCTGGCTCAGGCGACCAGACTGTGCGGATTTGGGACACGACAACGAGTGCTGAAGGGACTAAGATGGAGGGCCACAGTGACTGGGTCAGTTCCGTGGCATTCTCGCCTGACAGTAAACGTGTGGTGTCTGGCTCAGGCGACGAGACTGTGCGGATTCGGGATGCAATGACAGGTGTCGAGGTGACCAAGATGGAGGGCCACAGCAACTTGGTCTACTCTGTGGCATTCTCGCCTGATGGCACCCGTGTGGTGTCTGGCTCAGGTGACAAGACCGTGCGGATTTGGGATGCAACATCGGGTGCCGAGGTGACCAGATCCAGGGCCACGGCAACTGGGTCCGCTCTGTGGCATTCTCGCCTGATGGTGCACATGTGGTGTCTGGCTCGGGCGACAAAAAAACCATACGGATTTGGAACGCATGACAGGCCACCGAGGTGACCAAGATGGAGGGCCACAGTGCTTGGGTCAGCTCCGTGGCATTCTCGTCTGACAGTGTACATGTGGTGTCTGGCTCAGATGACAAGACTGTGCGGATTTGGGACGTGATGATGGGTGCCGAGGTGACCAAGATGGAGGGCCACAGCAACTTGGTCTACTCTGTGGCGTTCTCACCTGACGGCACCCATGTGGTGTCTGGCTCAGGTGATAAGACCGTGCGGATTTGGGATGCGACCATCAGGCGCCGAGGTGACCAAGATCCAGGGCCACGGTAACTGGGTCCGCTCTGTGGCATTCTCGCCGGACGGTGCATGTGTTGCGTCTGGCTCGGCCGACAAGACCGTGCGTATTGGGGATGTGACAACGGGCACCGAGGTGACCAAGATGGAGGGCCACAGCACCTGGGTCGGCCCTGTCGCATTCTCGCCTGACAGCACACGTGTGGTGTCAGGCTCAGATGACAAGACCGTGCGGATTTGGGATGCAACAATGGGCGCTGAGGTGACCAACGTACAGGGCCACAGCAAGGATGGCTGGATGGTGCAACGTGGGCAACCCCTCATTCACTTGTTTTGGTACCCCCCTGAGCTTCAACATACCCTTTTCTTCCCCCCTTGCTTCCATCTCATCTCTAACAAGAGTCAGACCCGTCTCGAACTTCATACCCGTAATCTGGGCACTCACTGGCAGAAAATCTATCACCACCCTCCACATGCAACCTCTCTTTAGAATGCCAGCTTATAAAGGTTCTTTTTTCCTTTCTCTTTATGCGACCACTCTTCTTATGAGTTGGATAGACCTGTTGACGTCACGGTGTTACATGTAAGCAGGTTCGAGAAATGCTCCAGAATACTACACCAAAGTGGATAATTGATTCAATATCTCCAATCAATCACACACCTATTTGACTTTGAGATAGTTGTAAACCGGCAGTTTTCCATTGAAATGCATATTGTTTCTTTAGCTGTTACAATGTAAGAGGTTCACTGTGGAAACACACCCCAGATTTGGGGGTCACGTGGATGCAATTCTAAACAAAAGGAATAAATCTAAAACTTCAGATGCACTGAAATTAGTTCTTTTCTCAATTCTCACCGTTTTACATACTGCTGCTGATGTCTGAACTGAAGTTTGCTGATAACGTTGGCCTTCAGTTCATCTGAAATTGATTTGAAATGCAAAAAATCTTGGTGAGTTCTGCTTCGAAATTTGTTTACATTCATTACTATCAGATCCAAGTTCAATCGAACACCAGTTCAACTCCCACCTACCTTGCAATGACTTGGCTTCAATTACTACCATCGTGAGTACTCTCGTTCAGTCAATTTTGTTCCTCTTACTCACCTCCATCACTCTCAGTACTGCCGCCGCAACCCAGTGTTCAACGATCAAAGTCAACGTTAAGCTTTAATTCAACCCAATGTTGTTTCACCTTACCTTGACCCAGATCATCTCCCCCTAGCATTCACTCGAAGAAGCCTTTCCCCTCCGTGAAATTCAGCAGCACAGCTGAGGTTGGCTTTGCTGTTGATTCAATCGGTTTCCTTAACGTACCCAAATCATCACCCAACTCCGAATTAACGGGGAGCTCTTTGCCTATATAATTTCTTCTGCATAAACGAAGGAAAGACAGGTGCACCGTGCACACCGTGCTATCGGGTATTCTCTGGGCCAGGAAAGTGTCAAAATAGAATTGCCATTATGGTTGAAAAGGCAGAAGCTCACCCCAAGCGGAGGAAAATCAAAATCATATCAATCTAAATCACCCAACCCCGAATTTGAACGGGGGCCTCCTGCCTATACAATGAACTTCCCTCAATCTCAGGGAAGGTGCTATCACATGTTCTCCTACGTGTTTAAAACCTCGATAGGTGGGGGCCAAGATCAAGAAGCATGAAAACCACCCGAGTTTGTACAGCTGCAGTCAACTCGAGTTTTGCCAATGCAAATGCAAAAGAGAGCAGCTCTTGGAAAGATGATCACCTGGAAAGGGAAGTAGAAATCAAGGTTTAATGACCACCGATCACCCAACCCCGAATCGAACGAGGGCCTCCTGCCTACATACTTTTACAGAACATTTAAGGAAGGCAGGTGCACACCAGTCACTGTTCTCATACCCATTTAAAACCTCAATATGCCTGTGCCAGGATCAAGTGGTATGAAAACCACTCGAGTAGGAAAATAACTTGGTTTTGATTGGCATGGAAAGGAAACCACCTTAGAGGTAAAAGGATCAATTTCAGCAACTAAAGAGGGTAATAATAAAAAATGATGAGCCATCACGAGTAATGACCCAACCCCGAATCGAACGGGGGCCTCCTGCCCACACATGAACTTCCCTGCAGCAGCGAGGGAGGCAGGTGCACACCATGTGCTATGGGGTGCTCTCCTACCCAGTTTAGACTTCAATGATGTGAGCAGAAACCAGTCATCATGGAACCACTTGATTTTGAAAAGAGCCACACTGAACGGGCGGATCCTATACTTTAAAAACACGAAGAACACTGCCACCACGTGATATATCATGTGATATATCACATGCTTCTTCCCACGAGATGCCCGAGCGTTAGCGAGGGCCAAAACAGGCGAGCTCGGAGCCCACTGTGTCTTTGTTGAGCACAGATTGTGCAGTAAAACACCCGCCAAAGGCGGGTCCCCTCAACTTGTTTCTTATTGCAATGGAAAAGGAAATCACCTCAGAGGTGAAATAATCAATTCCAGCAACTAAGGAGGGAAAAAAATTAAAATTAAAAATTAAAACGAACTTAACACTCAATCACCCAACCCCGAATCGAACGGGGACCTCCTGCCTGCAGAAGACTTTCCTAGCACTCAGGGAAGGCAGGTGCACACCATGTGCCATTGGGTGTTCTCCTACCTGTTGAAAACCTCAATGAGTGTGAGCAGAAATTGGCTTATGGAACCACTTGAGGGTGAAGAGAGCCAAAATGAATGTGATTTTTAACGCAACTTTGCGACCCTTGAAAAGATGATAACCCGGAAAGGGAGAAAGACAAAAAAACTATTTTTCGAAAATCACTCAACCCCGAATCGGAAGGGGAGCTCCTGCCTACACATAGATTAGCCACTTAAGGAAAGGCAGGCGCACACCATGTGCTACTGAGTGTTATCCTACTTGCTTCAAAGTTGGATAGATGAACAAGATAACCTGTGAGAGTGGTTGAACTGCTGGGTAGGGCGCGCGGAACGAGATACCAATGGAATCTATTGTAATTAATAGTCAGACAGGGAGGAAAAGAGTTATCGCCGATACGGTATCACCCGACCCCGAATCGAACAGGGACCTCCTGCCTACACAAATATACCAACACATTAAGGAAGGCGGGTGCACACCATGTGCTATCAGGTGTTTTTGTACCCAGCTTTAAAAGGAGGAGGTGTGAGCGAAGATTGAACATAAAAAGATTCAGACACTTTCCACCAATAATAAATAAATTGAGTGATGGATTAACAGTTCGAGATAAGGACCAGAAAGTAAAATGAATGAAGAAATGGGGAGCTGTAAGTGTGCGGTGGATTGTTCCCACTCGTTGTGGTATTTTTCAAGAGCACTCCAAGCACTCAGAGCCAACAACTCAGAGCCAACTGGAAGATCCCAAGAGGTTAGGGCTGCGGACCGTACCGTATACGGGGACGGCCGTACATTCGACGGCCGTATTTTAGCTGATCTGTACCGTATGCCGTCCCGTTGCTACATATTCCTTGGGCTCGACGGTACGGTACGGCACAAAAACGGCCGTATACGGCAGCACGGCGCGTAAAATTGTACAAACCACCTCTACAGGTCAATCAAGGTGTGCCAAGTGTCCCTCTCATAACCTTATCCTCACATTTAGGTATGATATCTGAGATTGCCTCTGACATGCATAATTGGAAGGAGCGACTCATCAGTGTTCAAAATTTCTATGTTTGAACGGGCCCACCTATGTTCAGTTTTATCCTGGAGAAAAAGGTATAACCAATGTTGCCAATGCAATTCCATAGAAGCAAATAATGTACACAAGGAGGTTGCCTAACATATGAACCGAGGACGAACTGACACAACCTTTCAATAGCAGTATTTGGATACCTCGGGCCCAAGACCGCATTAATTTACCCTATTACAATTGGGTTTTTTGAACCACTTCACTTGGAGTCAATTATGATGCAAGAGAAAAACATCAACTCACTATGGCCTCAAATCCGGCTGAGCGCGGCAGTACCGGCATCAGTGAATGCCGCATATGCCGAGTATCCCGTCTATTCCTCAGAGTTGGTGGCATCACAATTGACCTCTTGCAAGTGTTGTAGCTAGCCTTCTGGTAAGTTATGTCCCAGTTCTGTGATTTCAATTCGATTCCCGGGCCATTTGGGTAAATACCGTAAATACGGTTTCAACGCCGTATACAGCCGTATTTTCGACGGCCGTAATGGCGTACGGTACGGCCAACCCGTCCCGTCCAACGGAGGGGTAAAAGGGTCGACGGGACGGTACGGGTGCCGTTTTACGGAAGCCGTATAACCGTCTTTTACGGTTCGGGTCAGCAGCCCTACTTGAAGAGGTCCAACTTCTTCGGGTGAAAAGGTCAAGAGCAAAGAAATAAAGAGAAGGAAGATTTAATACCATGCTAGAAGAGAAAGGAGCGCTCGACGGCCACGAATCACGATGGTTGAAAGAGAAAGCGGGCCGATAACACCGGTCCTCTCATCATGATTCAATATTCAATGATTGTATCACTCGGGTCCGCGCGTGCGAATCGACGTTTTTATGACTTTCACACACGACGAGCGCGCGCCAGACGCGATTTTAGGCTTCAAACTCGCTCCGAAGGAAATGGTCGAAGGTGCGCATGGAAAGCACGGTTTTCTTAGGCCCGTTTGAAGCTGATCTTTTTTTTTTACCAGCTTTGAGCCGATTTCTCCAGGAAACTTAAACGACTGTTTTCGACTCTTCTTTGGGCTCTAATACTTGGTATCCAAGGACAGGCGGGAATTGAGGCCTATTGAGGTCTTGCGGATGGACACGCACGAATTGCGCACGAAGAGCAGTCCGCTGCACTCGCGATTCTGCCGACCAACACCACCAACACCTCTCCCCGCGCCTCCCGCCGCGCGCTGCGTTAACGCCCGGGCACCTGGTGCTCCTGTTGTGCCCCTTCGTGCGCGCACACACATCCAGTATGGGTTCTTCGCGGGGCGCGCGCACTGCAAATGGTAGACTGAGGAGGAGGCACCAAAGGGCGCACGATCGGACCCACGGCCGCAGAGGATGAGCAAGCTTCACGCGAGACAGCGCCAATGAAACCCGTTCGGTCCAGACTCTAGGCTATGGCGGCGTGCTCGGCGTGCTCTCCCTGCCGAAGCTGTACACCGAGGGCATCGCCCCGGGACATCGACGACCCAACCTCAATCGCAAGTGTCGATTTTGTCTGCGCTGGCCGTCGAGCGATCTCGCCCGCGCGTCTCGCCGAACTCGCCTCCGTAGGCTGCTCGCGATTCCCCCGCGCCGCTTCACGCGCACGTACATGCACCCGCTCCTCGTCCTCGGCCCCTGCGCGCTCGCAACCTTGACCCCACAACGCACGCTCGCTGCACGCCATCACCTCCAAACCCAAACTCACCACCCTCCGCCAGCGCGCATCATCACCCGTCAACGGCGGTGGATGCCCTGATCGTCAGCATGGTGCATACCGCGAAGGCAACGTTCTTTGGCACTGGATACGAGGGCGGAGCGGAGGTTGTCCAGGTTAGCTCTTTCCCTCCCCTTCATCTGGAATTCGGCGAATAATAATCGCTTCATTTAGTATTCCATCGATAAGGACGACTTTGGCTTCCTCCCGCCTACGCCAAGCGCCAAGGAACGCCCAAGAGCCGCCCCCTACACTCCCCGCCTTGACCTCGCTCACCACATCCTACGGCGGCGCTCGCGAGCGGACGCGATTCGGCGGGTTCGATGCTGTGTGGGCGGGGGGTTATGCTGATTGTGAGGAGGTCGTTGACTGTTAATGGGTGGGGGATTATGAGGCGATCGTGAGGGTGAAGGTGGGAGAGC